GGCTCCACCCACGCCCGCCGGATGGGAACCACAATGGGTAGGACAGCGGCTCGTAGAAAGGGTGTAGTGGATGGAGGTACTTGGGCGTGGTGGAGGAGTGAAGTCGGAATGTGACTGTGCGAGGCTGAGCGTGACTGTCAGGTCGCGCGTCGACGATGGCGGCGAGCTCGTTGATACCTTCGTCCCATTTCAAGTGCACCGCTGCGTCCGGGCCTGGGCGACGCAGGGCTCCCAGCCTCTTGATTTCAGTCATGAAAGGGTTGATGGGCAGCAGGAGGCGTTCGAGGCGACGAAGTAGCGGCAGGTCCAACTGCAACGCAGTAGCTTGTCGAACGCGTTCGTGAGGGTCGACGACGAGATATCTCACGGCGGTGGAGTCGGCAGCCGTGAGTACTCGTCTGTACATCGTGCCGTGGATCCGGAGGTTCGAGGGGCGCATATAGTTCCCGAATCGGAGTTCCTTCGTAGCCCCAGCGCTCTGGATCTCGTGAACAGCCAGTGCGAATAAGTTGTTGTAGCGTCGACTGGTGGCCGTGAATCCTGTCAAACGAACAGAATTGGTGGTGGGATCGTGCAAGAGCTGACCCGCGGCGTCCCGAGCTGGCCAAGTGGAGCGGAAGATCTCCAAGAGAGCGGGAGGTGGGAGCGAGAAGAATCGTTCGAATGGGACGGCCCACCTGCCGTTGCCGCAGCAGAACGTAGGTGCTTCGGTATGGAAGAGGGAGGCCGAACAATGTGGGCAAATGCGGGTCATTTCTCCGACGGAGAACGGCACGTCTTCAAGGGACGGTCGGCCCACTACGCTGCAGTCGCGGCAAACGCTGTCCAGCGACCTGTCGCGGTCGGTGGCGAAGGCTTCCCTTGGCAAGGTGAGCCCGCAACGAACGCAACATACTTCTGGTCGTTGCCGGGAGAGGCCGGAAGTCTGAGGGGCGCTGCCGGTGCAAGCGATGCATACGCGGGAGGCTCGTCTGCGTTGGTATGTGCTGAAGCCCAGCCGCGGGACGTCCTGATCGCAACGAGTGCAATGCAGCGTGTCTGCGCTGGGGCGTCCGCGGGAAGCCGGCCGCTTGCGCACGGCGGGAGAGCCAGCATCACCCGCGCACTGTGCTGGAAACGCAGGGCGCGTGTACAGAAAGGCTGCGATGGAAGTGGTTGCTGCCACAGGCAGGAGTGAAATGCCCCGGGCCTGCGTGTTGAAGGTAGTAGGTGTGCTGAGCAGAGCATGCGCGGCACATCGGCGGGCGGTGGACATCGTCGGCCATGTCAGGCGGCATCCAGTGAGAGGGAACATCAGCGGAAACCTGGAGCCAAAACCTACGGAAGAAATCCCAGGAAACGTATGTCATGGACCATTGTTGGCTGGTCGGTGGATTCGGGGCGCTTCCGAGGCACGTGAGAAAATAAGCACGAAACGTACACCTTGCGAACATGTAGAAGTGTGGCCTCTACGGGTCTCTTGGGGGTCCTTGGGTTGTTCTCGTTTGTGTTAGGGGTGTGGGGTGGTTCTGGTGATCTGGTCGGCGACGGGGCCTCTGGAGATTCTATTTGGCCTCGCGTCAGCCTTGGCCGCAGGGGAGGTCATGTGGCAGACGAGTTTTGAAGACTGTTGAGGTCTTTTTGGAAGCTCTTGGGGTCCTCTTTGGAGCCTGTTGGAACCCTCATGGGGCCTCTCGGGGCTTTGGGGGGCCTCCTGGGGCCCTCTCGGGGCGGAAAAAGTGAGTTTGAAAGTGTTGATCGCCCTGTAGGACGCCTCTTGGGGCCTGATCGGGGCTCTCGTATGCTCTCTTGACCTGTTTGGGGGCCCTCCAGAGCCAGCAGGGGGACGTTGTAGGGCTGTCTTGGGGGGCTCCGGGGCTGTCTTGGGGCGCTCTTGAGGGCCTTTTGGGCTGTCTTGGAGCGTCGGAGACATGAAAAGGCGAGAAAACGAAAACGTCGAAAAACACATCGGAAAATCAACGATTTTGGCCTCCCGGGGCTCTCTTGGGATACCTTTTGTGGGGCCTCTTGGGGTGTCTTGAGGGCTTCTTGGGCTGTCTGGGGCGATCTTCGGTTCTCTTGGACGGGTCTGGGGCCGTCTGGAGCCTTCCTGGAGCACTCGTGAACCTCTCTGGGACCGGTCGTGGCCCGTCCTGATTGTATTTTCGGGCCGGCTCGGATCATCGGGGGAGGGCCGAATTAGGTGCTGGCCATCCGGGGGGGGGTTTTCCCTTATCATTTGATAGGGAAAAGGAATATGAATTGTGCCCTCCTCGCCCAGGGGCTCAGCATGGTGCCCTATACAGAAGCACCCCCCCCAGGCGACCGCCAGCCGACCAGGACCAGTGACCCCCCACCCCAGAGGCCTCCGATGATGCCTGGATGGCCTGGTGGGGATCTTTTGATCGCGACCGCGGCGAAGGCAAGTCGGGCGGCGCCCAGGGCACGGCGAGAAGCAACGGCCGGAACTAGCGCAAGGAGGAGGAAGGGCGCAATGGGGACGGGAACGAGCAGGAGAGAGAGAGAGAGAGAGAAAGAGAGAGAGAGAGAGAGAGAAAGAGAGAGAGAGAGAAAGAGAGAGAGAGAGAGAAAGAAAGAAAGAGAGAGAGAGAGAGACGAACAGCTGGTGGGGATGCGCGACGCGCCCCGAGCGGCTCGCGCAGGGGGCTCCCGGAGCGCGCTGCGCCGCTCCTCGTCGCGGCGCGCCCTCCGAGGCCGCGCCCGGCCCCGCCGCGCCAGGCGCCCACGGGGGGGGGGGGGGGGGCTTCCCTTCCCCCCCCCCCCCGCGGCGTCCTCGAGGGAGCGGCGACGTCGCGCGGGTCTTCCGTGGAGGGCTCGCCTGCTTCTCTGCCGCTCCTCGGGGCTCGCGCTGGGGAGGCGCGACGCGATCGGGCAGCGCTCGGCGCGCAGCGCAGGCGATCGCACCCACGCGGGTGCGGCAACGGCGGACGTGAAGCCCCGACCTCTGCACGGGCGCCCGCGGGTCGCGCGCTTCTGGGCGGACGCCGGCGCACCGCGCCGCGAGGGGGGGGGGAGGGGGCAGGGGCAGGGGGAGGGAGGGGGGAGGGGCATGGGGTGAGAGGGGGGAGGGGGAGGAGGAGGAGGAGGAGGAGGAGGAGGAGGAGGAGGAGGAGGAGGAGGAGGAGGAGAAAGAGGAGGAGGAGGAGGGGGAGTAGGAGGGGGAGGGGGAGGAGGAGACCAGTGCAAACCCAAGACTTGCATCAACGATGTTGGAATACACCCTCCCTCCAAGCTTCCTTGTCATAGGCCCCTACAACGGTTCATTTCCATCGAGGGATCTGCCTCGTTGGAAGACAACCTTTTGAAGACCCGGAAGCATGCCAAAACATTGCTCTCGGAATTCCAACGCCACGGATCAACCTGACTGTTGCGTCTTGACGCCGTTCTTGGGATTCCAACACCGCGAATCAACGTAACTGCTGCATCCGCAAAATTCGGAATACGTCTAAAACACAATTTCTGGTACGTTGATCGTGAGATTCCGAAGAACTCTTGCAGTTTTTATGAACGAATGTGCGCGGCGCTCCGGCAAGAGCAACATTTTGAAAAGGAACCGCCCTCAATCCGTGAAACTCTGGCAAATTGTTAGAATGAATCTGCGCGGCGCTAAGTCGAGAACCACATTTTGAGAACGGGTTATCCTCAATCCGTGAAGCTCTTGCATTTGTTTCACAGAATGTGCGCGGCGCTGAGGCGAGAGCCAGAGTTTAAAAACGGGTGGTCCTCAATCCGAGAAACTCTTGCACATGTTTAAAACGAATGTGCGCGGCGCCAAGGCGAGAGCCACATTTTGAAAACGACCCGCCCTCCATCTGCGAAGCTGTTGCCAATGTTGAAGCTTCAGAATCATAAATGGTGAGGAAATCTCAAGCGAAACGCCTGGCCCGCCCTAAAACTGGCCTCGGGGTGCGACAGGGAGAAGCTAATTATAAGGAAAAGGAATGGGGAATGGAGGAGGAGGAGGAGGAGGAGGAGGAGGAGAAGGAGAAGGGCCACGCCTTGCATGGCTCGCAGGGGGGCTGTGAGGCTGCCCCGAGAGGGGGAGGCGTGAGGGAGGGGCGGACGAGACGGACAGAGGAGACCAGGAGGAGGGGCAGGGAAGAAGCGACCAGAGGGCAGGCAAGGGGAGAGTGAGAGAAAGGCGGGGGGGGGAAATGAGGAGAACACAGCGAAGATATGATGTGAAAGAAAATTCTGCAACGAATCGCGTGCGCTATGTAATGCCATGTGATGCCATGTTATGCTAAGCTATGCTTTGCTAAAGCGTGCAATCTGGCAATGTGCATTGTTACGCCATGTTTCCGGCATGGTGCGCAAAGCGAACACACGCTCATGTATGCAATGCCATGCTACGCGCCATGTTACAGCGGAAAAGCCACAAGGCACCGCGCGATGCTATCACACATGGAACGCCATGTTTTGGAATGCTATGCAGGCTATGCCATGTGGCCACGCAGTGGCATGCTACGCCCTAGGCATCATGCCCCCTAGGGCCGCGCGAGCGACCAGAACGTTGGCCGCCTCATAGCCACAGCTGTGCGGATTCCCTACGAATGCCATGCTGCGCTCTGCAATGCAATACATTGCGCCACGGAGGACGCCAGGGGAACTCCTAGGGAGCCACACGGGATCTCCGAGGGGGCACACATACAGTCGTATCATGATGGAGGACACCGAGGGCAGCGGACTAAGACGTCCAGGGGCTACTCTAGAAACTGAACGGAAGGGGAAGGATGGATACAATCGGGCCGCCGAAGAAGGTACCCTTTTCGTTGGGGATGGGCTCGGTGTTCCTTCATCGTTCTGCAATTTTCCTTATGGGGTCCTTACGTTTCCTATGGAAAATCGCTGTCTAACCTCTGCAAGCAAAGGGGCCTCGTTCCTTACTCAGGGTTCCTCATGACAGCGTTTCGACTGCATGGTGCGCAAAACGATAAAGGGAATGGAACGGGGAAGGGCGCCGCCTCACGCACCTAGAACCATTTCGGGGCCCAGAGCGCCCTCGAAACGCCTCCTGTACGCAGATGTAGCTGACCAGGACGAAGTTCCCAGGCGGGTAGTACTCGTAGTAGCAGCATGCGATCGGCCCTTTCTCGTTCCTGGCAACCAACATGTGCAGCTCTGGGAACCGCCCGTCGGGTTCCCTGGCCAGGTTCACCCTCATGTCTTCGAGGTCGTCTAGCTCATCAGCAATCGGGAAATGCACCTGAAGCAACTCTGCGTAGACTTGGTCCAGCAACGCCTGCTCTTCATTCCTCAAATCCACGATCTCGAGGGGAACAGGTGATGATTCGCTGCGCGGCGTCGGCCCGCAGCCAATGCCTGCCATTGCTTTGAGCTGGACGATGGCAATGGCAAGAGGAGAGACCGTGTTCGCAGGGGGCGGTGGACACACAAGGGAAGGGGGGAAGGGAAGAAGGCAGAGGGGAACGTATCCTTCTTGCTCCTCCGCCTCCGCACCTCCTCCTCCTCCTCCTCCTCCTCCTCCTCCTCCTCATCATCATCATCATCATCATCATCATCACCACCACCACCACCACCACCACCACCACCACCAACAACCCACCACCATCATCATCATCATCATCTCATCATCATCATCATCATCACCAATCACCAAATCACCTCAACTTCACCACCTACACCATACATCATCATCATCATCATCATCATCATCATCATCATCATCATCATCATCATCATCATCATCATCATCATCATCATCATCATCATCATCATCCTTTTCCTCCTCCTCCTCCTCCTCCTCCACAATTACACAATATGAAAATACTCTCCCACTTCCCCTGATGGCGTCCGGAAGATATTCGGCACCCCCCCGCGTACTGTTTTTTTACACACAGGATTCCCCGGAGTTGGGTTTTCGCTTGTGTTTTTTTTTTCAAAAAATGCTGCTCTCGCTGAGGCGCCGGCTTCATTTCTGCTCCCGAATCGTTCCGAATCGTGCTCCCGCTGCAGCGTGGGCCTCATTTTCGGATCGGTGTTTGGCCTCCGTCGTTGAGGATGGCGTTCTCGCCCCAGCGCGGGCCTCCTT